AAAAAAATCTTATCAGAAAGTGAGATCAAGAAGAGGAAACTAAAGAACAATTGAACCTAGGATGAACCCAGTACAGTTTCACTGGGTGCTAAATCAAATGTGCTCTGAAAATCAAATATTGCACCGAATTCATGTTTTCTGGTTTGTCTGACTAGGCTCTTTTTAAACTAGTGTAAATGATATCCTTGAGGAGAAAGAAAGATGTAAGCCAAATGCTTCCTCAAAGAAAAAGTGATTGTATCATAGTTATTGGCATAAAATGATTGAGGTGTACCTTTCCCATTTGATAATGTACTTGCTGTCAAATGTACAGTAAGATTTAAAGTTGTGAGTCAACCAAGTTACCAATTATAATTCTTGTTAATAAATCATTGCATGTGGAAGGAGAATTAGTGCTTTTCTGGAGCAATAATTATCCAAGTTTCTTCCTTTAATAATTAAATAAACTGACAATAAAATCAGCAAATTAAAATATTTCATTTTTTCATCTCTTCCAAAAGAAGAATTCAGAGAAAGTTAAAAGAATAAAAAATTGCCCTGTTTTAGTTTTGCATGTTGCACCTTTGTACTCCATAAGCAAGTTCTGGGATTGCTGAAGTGGGATGTCTTTCTCTGGTGCTGGTACCTCATCCATCCTAGGTAAATATTCTGTCACTGAGCTACATCCCAGCCCAAATTTTCTAAAGATAACAAACAGTGTCTACACATCTTGGAAAGACTATCTGATATGAGGAAAGTATTTTATTTATCAAACTACTAGGCAGTTTTTAATAAACTGAATCCATAGTTTCGAAGTCACTTACACAAGCAGAAACCACTCACTTCCTAGGAAGAAATCTGTCTTGCAGCAAATGGAGAAAAAATAAAGAATGTAGAGTTCTTCTCTGAAAGCAAAGATGACATAAATGCAATCAGTTAATGGTTTTATACTTTCTGTAGGAACTACTCCTCCATGGGGTACAATACACAGGAGCAGTGAAGCAGTATCAAGGGACCTAGCTGGCCTTATTCACAAGCTCAGTTATTTGAGTTTCCTTCTCAGTATGATATTAGTTAACCTGAGAATTAATTAAAGGTGAAAATTAAAGATGCTGGATTTATGTATCATTTTTCTTCTTTTCTCCAAAATTAGGAAAATACAGAAAGATATTCTTTCTGTGTATAGTTGTATTCTTCTCATATATTTCTTTCAATGTGAGAAATAGTTGAGTATTAATTTTTTAATAAATTATTACTTGAGGAAAGAGCTCTAAATAGTGATCATGGGAAGTGAGAAGTTGTAAGGAGAAATTCCAGGGGGGAAAATATTCCAGCTAAGGACTCTCAAGAAACCCATCCTTACTCAGCAGTACTTAGTGTGGGCAGTTAATAAGTTTTCCAGAAATGCTTCTCATTATATTTGTGATCAAGTAGAGCAATTACCATCACAAAAGTCCAATAATGCAAAGATTTTTTTTTTAACAGAAAGAATAGTAAAAGCAACTTTCTTAAGGTTACAAATAAAGAAGAAATTCCAGAACTTCCTTTTGGAGTACAAAACTGACCAATTTTAGTTCCACTTCTGCAATCTGTTGAAGACAAATTAAATGTTTAAGAAGGAGAAAATTTGGCAAGCATTATGCAATGCAGATATCATGGCTTCACAGAGCAATACACCTGGTTTTGAATATTGCTTATAACAAATAAGCTATAGAATCTTGAAACAGTTGTCTAACCTTTTCAAGAACTAGAGGTTCTAATCTGCAAGTTCTAAGGGGTGTAAAATGCTTAGAATATTAAGTAAAACACATCATACCACTCACTTGGAGGATAGGGCATGATCAAAAAGTATTAACTTTTTCTACATCCTTTATTTTGCATCCCATCTGTATTTATGCCCTATATCAGTATTTGCTTACTAAGATTCTCTCTTATGTTGCTTTTGGAATGGTTCTTAAGGAATTCCTGTTTTATCTCAGTGTCCTGATAAATCCTGAACAACCACCTTTCCATCTCTGCAACAACACAGCCCCTCTTCTGCACCTCAGACTCTTGAGCACCTCAGACTCTTCTTAGCTAAGTAAGGAAAGGAAGAGGCATCACAGCGAAGAAGCAGGACTGGTTTTGACAGCATGATTGTGAAAGCTGGGACCGAGGAGGAAAATAATCACTTTTTCCTCACAAAAGAAGACTCAAATTCACTTTTATACATTGCTATCCAAATTAACGGAGACTAACAATAAGCTTTCCCAGAGCAGCACAGGCTGGAGGCATGGACTTGAGGTGGAGCCCGAAATAGCTCCTGATGTGAGACAAGGAGGCAGACTGCCCCTTCACCATTTCCTATGCCTGGTAGTTTCTTCTTCTGTTTTCCTTCCTGTAGCAAGCAATGCTGGGGATCCTCAAGGCCATTCCAGAGACCAGTTGGGCCATTTCTTCTCAGTCTGTGATGAGACACTGTCACAGCCAGCACGCGTTACATGGAGCCACTCCCTAGCTTGGCACTGTAGTACTTGTCCTTGAGAGACAGTGTTATGTGTTACATTTACACTGAGTTGTTCATTTTGCATCTTGCCATTCATATGTCTATTAGAACCAAAATGGTATAATGAAGTAGGAGGAAAGAGTAAAACCTAAAATTAGAAATTTCAACCTCTTTCAATTCACCCATTCACCGAATGGATGGAGCCTCATAGCAGGGCACATAAGGGCAAACTCCTCACCTCTTTCCCCTTCATTTCTCTGCATGGAATGGCCAAGCTGATTTTATTCCCACACACACATAGAAAGTTGTTCCCTTTGCTCATTTAATTTCCTGTGACAGCACTGTGTCAACTTACTTTGAAAACTGCATTTTCCCAGATGTGTGCAAGATTTGGGAAGTGCAGTGATGGCCGTCACACTGTGTTTGCAGCAGGATGTCAAGCTGGACAGACAGAGGTGCTGGACAGGTTGCAGCTGAGCCTCTCTTGCCTCTGCTCTGTGCCCAGCTTGAGTTCCTGATTGCTAACACTGCCAAGCAATAGTCGTCCCAATTCTACTACCAGCTTCGTAGGCAAGGACCTAGAGAGGAGCTGAGCAGAAGCAACGCCCCACCACGGGGTTCTCCGCCAGCTCCAACCTTAAACTTCCACCACATGGGTAGGAAGTGCTTGCTTCTACTGTCTGCTCATGTAAATCTTCAGGAAGTTGCCTTGGGGCCCCTTCGCTGATGCTTCCCCTTGCCCATCTTTCCCCCAAATCTAACGGAAGCTCTGGTTTCCTTATAGAACCGGATGTACATTCCTTTGACCTGAATTGCTTATAGTCTTCTCTAACCTGCAAGTCAAGGTAGATTTCCTCCTCCATGTTCTCGTAGCTTGGTGTGCCTGGCTCCCTCATTACACGTATTACCCCTCAGAGTAAGTGAGTGGTTTTGGCCCCTGCTGTTAAGTTGTAAGTCCTTCTAGGACAGGGTTTGAATTTTATTCATCTCTGAACTGTAAGCCCCAAATTTTCCCTTAGAGCAGCACTTGGCACATAGTAGGTGCTCAGTGAATGTTTATTGAGGCTTTTGATACTCAGCAAGATTACCCATAGCAATTGTCATCCTCCTGAGACAACCACTCTCTGCTCAACCTAGATGAGTCCTGGAGAGAGGAGAGTTGAGGAATTACAATGGGATACTTCATTTCTCCTTGGAGTAGCCCAGGGAGATCATGTGGAGATTCTGTGAGAAACAACTGGAACAATAATCTTGGACAAGCTTGTAAATTTTGAGTCTTTTACTGAGATAAAGAATAATTTTATTGACAACAGAAGCTTCTGCCTTTTCCTTGTTTCCTTCCATCCAGCTTTGTTCTCAGTGGGTTAAAGAAAATTCTGGTCTGGAAGAAGCACCACACCATGGCCTCAGCTTCCAGTCCCCAGATATTCTCACATATTTTACGTTATTTTGAAGATCAGTTGAGAAAATGAGTTTGTGTTGAGTGAATGGCTGCTCTTCCTATTCAGCATATTGAGGGCAATGTCCTTGTTGAGCTTCCAGTAGAGAAAGGAGGCTCCTCGTGGAAAGTGAACTGGAAGACGCTCCTGCCATCACTGGGTGATCCACTGTCCCCTCAAGAGCTGTGATGATGTTGAACTTGGGCCAAAGCCTAAGGAGCCCTTCTTTCCCCTTTGATTCTTCTGATAGAAAGAATACCTTAGCCTGAATGCTGAGGGGCAAAGCAAAGTTAAATCTCCTAGAGGATTAAATAATTGGAATCAGAATAAACCAGCTGGTAAGCATCTCAAAACTCAAGAATTTTCAAATACTGTCCTGTGATTAATAATAATTAACAGAAATTTCTCAATACTTGGATGTGCTGTATTCAAATTATCCAATGACCAATACTGAACCTGAAAGTTAAAATGTTCAATGGGACAGGTAGATCCAGAGCGTCCTGGGGAAATGCCAACTGCGTAGAGATGTTTTATTACAGATGTTTTGCAGTAATGAGTTATTTTCCAGTAGATACACCAGAAAGACAGATTTTTATAAAGCAAACAAGTTCATGACAGCTTCACTTAGAATTTACACCCATGAAAATCAGAAACTTCAAGATCAAGTTGTCTACACAGAAATATACCCTTTGACAGGATAAAGGATAATGAAAGTCTATTTAGCCAATTTTTCTATTACTACAGAAATTGTTATAAAAGATGAAAATAAAAATCTGTTTAGAAGAAGAGAAAAACAGAAAGAACATGGAGACAACAGATACTTTGCTAAGTCTCTGGCAGAAAAAGGATTTCAATTCTGTGAATGGTGTTTGTGTATACTCTCAATTACACACACACACACACACACACACACACACACATTCCAGAAGACATCCCTTGCATGTATATACATCAGGCACATGTATACTTGGGTTACTATATATGGTGAAAAAGATATAATATTTTAGCAAATTCTTTTACTCATTCTTCTCACTTAACGACAGTCCAATTTTATCAAATATTTCAAACTTCACATAATTCTTTATGAAAAGAGGTCCAAGTCAGAAACAATAAAATTGGAAGTAACTATAACTGCCTGCTTCCTTCTCGCCTCCCTGTCACTCAGATGGTCCATGAGCAGGCTCTCTAACTCTGTGAATCAGCAGTAATTTCAGAAGACTTGGAATAACAGATACAGTATATGGCTGTCATTCAGAAGACCAAATATGGCTTCCCTTCTAAGGTTTATAAGTAAAAGTGAGAAAATCATTCATTGAATTAAACCAAAGCAGTAAGATTCTCAATTCCTTTTTTTTTTTTTTTTGGTACCAGGGATTGAATTCTGGATCTTGAGCTTTCAAAGCAGGTGGTAGCACTACTGAGCTAAATTCCTGGCCCTTGATTCCTGTTTTTGAAAGTTCAGAAATTAGCAATCTTTAGAGAGTTCATTTTATTGGAGCTGCCTTCCCCAGGAGCCCAAACCTGGACCACTTTGGTAGCTTAGGTTTACCAGTAAGACTAGATCTATTGTTCACAGGAAGGTGTCCATTATGGTTTTTGAAAGAATCTCCTCATCTGCTGAGTTCATGCCAATATATTTGAGGAGAAATCATTGAAGCTTTCCTAATAGAAAAGAATCTTTGCAAATGAAGAACATTACCTAAGAATGGGCAGGAAACAAGCTCAGAGTGGAAGAATCTGGGCTGAAGATCCTCCCTGTGACAATCATCCTTAAAGCCTTGCGAAACCAAGGATAAAACATGCCATAAATAATGGGATTGAAAGTAGAATTGAGATAACCCAACCAGAGGAAGACATTGTACAAATCTTCAGGGGTTCTAAAATCAATGAAAGGGTCTATGATTGTCAAGACAAAGAACGGCAGCCAGCACACCACAAACACTCCCATGACTATGCTTAGAGTCTTGGTGGCCTTGCTTTCTGTTTTGGATGTCACTTTCATTCTGGTTTCTGAGTCAGCCTGTTTTGTCCTAGGACCTGTGCCAATTTGCTTGGCATGCTTCCTGGCTACTGTGAAAATGTGTATGTAAATCCCCACCATGACTGTCCCAGGAATAAAGAAAGCTATAAGGGAAGCTAGCACCCCCTAGAGCTTGTTAAATATCAACACACACAAACCTGTGCAGTCGATGGCTGCAATAAAATCTTCTGCACCAATTACATTTAATCCTGAGCAGACCAGGCCAAAGGCAAAAAACACGGGAACAGTCCAACTGATGAGCAGAAAGAACTCTGTGACAGGCACAGTGATATGGGTGACATAGTGCAGAGGGTCACAAACAGCATAGTAGCGGTCAATGGAGATGAAGCAGAGGTGAAAAATAGACGTGGTGCAGAGCATGATGTCACAGCAGCTGTGCACTTTGCAGAAGAGATCTCCGAAGTACCAGCAGGAATCGATGGACCTGACCATACTGAAGGGCATGACCACACAGCTTACCAGCAAGTCAGTGGTGGCCATGGAGAGGGTGAGGAAGTTGGTTGGGGAGTGGAGCTGCTTGAAGTGGGTGATAGAAATGATCACAGCCATGTTGCCCAGCATGGTCATCACTATGGCAACAGTCATGACCATGTACATGGCACAGATAGTTGGCATGGGCCTCTCCTTTGTAGGACATGAAGTATTAACCAATGGAAAGCAAAACTGTACATCTGCAGGATTCCTAAGATGAAGTGAACTCATGGTCTTTGTCTTGTGGTTACTTTCTCTCTGTAAAAGAAAAAAAGAATAAAAATCACCAGCAGGTCAATATTTACAGATATCCAGCAAACCTGCATTTCCAATCCAAGTTTGAAATCACTATTGCCTAGCAATGCTGATTCCCATACCTTTGCCCATAGGAATCACCTGGGTAACTTTCTAAAACAGGTTCTGATTCTGAGGTAGAGGCTGAAAAGTAACATTCTCACAAATTCTCAGAGGAATCCAATTCTGTTGGTCCTATGAGCACTCCTGGCAAAGGGAGGGGGTGAAGAAAACTGAATTGATATTCAGTCACCCAAGACTCAAATGGGACAGAAAAAATTCTTCATCTGTTTGTGGATTTGGAATCCTGAGTAACAGTGAACTATTCGTGCAACCATGTATGCACATGGTACTTGAGTGAAAGCCCTCAATATTCCCAAATGCTCTCATGGCATTTTACATTTCATTTAGACAGTAATTATAATTTGAAGACTGTGCTGTGTCTTTGTTTAAAACTTCTCTGTGGGCAATGCCAAATGCCTTTGATCCTGCCACCTATTACATACTATTCAATTAAGGAAACACTTTTCTCTCTGAGGTGAAGAATATAGTTTTAAAAATTTAACACAGTTGTGTAGTAGGAAAAACATGCTAATGCTTTTAAGATTGTACATGAATAATTCTCGTGTGTGTGTGTGTGTGTGTGTGTGTGTGTAGTAACTCAAATGATAAAACCTGTAAATTTCATGTGCCATTTCCTTTTGTTTAGTGGTTCATTCATGAATTCAAACTCAGGTTCATGATCTCTCGGCCACAGATTTCAAGTCTTACCTTGGTAACCAATTTGACTTATGAGTCTTGTTGATTAATGCATCTCTTTGGATCCTCAATGCTGTTTTCCACAGAATGTGAAGATAATGAGACTGACTCACCTCGAGTGTGACAAGACTTGATTTATTTTCCCAGTCCTGATGCTTTGTGTGTAATTCTGATGGCCAATGGCAGGCATCTGTGAGATCTAACACGAGGTCGGAAGATGGACTTCAACCTGAGAATACACAAAATCTCAGTGATCTTCAGGGGAAAACAAATCCTCAAGCACGTCCTCCTCATTTACAAAGAATGACAGCAATGAGAATGCAAACACCTTTGAAATAATTTCTTCACCATTTGCTTCAGTAGTTCAACAAGTATTTCCATGCCTGTGTATTATAAGAAATCTCAATGTCATGGTATATTTTATTTTCTCAGAATGTAGTAATTTAGTTTCTTCCTCTTAGTATTCCTCTAAAGATATTTTTAATTGTACTAACCAAATATTATGCAAATAAATTAAATTCAAGAGGCCAGGGCATGGTTAACTAAAATGTAAGAAGGATAAACTATTGTAAGTTCCTTTATAAAGTGCAGGCTACCAATCAGAATGCATAGCAAAAAAATTTGATTACATACTATTTTTTTTTTTTTTGGTACTAGGGATCGAACTCAGGTCCTTGTGCTTGCAAGGCAAGCAATGGAACCACTGAGCTAAATTCCTGGCCCCTATTACATACTATTTTGATAAAAGAGCTTACTGAGGGGCAGAAAAGACTGAAACCCTAACCTCCTAATTCTCTTACTTAAAAACTTTATCCTGCATTTTATTTCTTTGCTGCTGAAAATGTTTGATTCTTTTTAAAATTATTGTAAAAGTTATCTTTCCAGATAGCTGACAATTACCATGATATTACATAAGAATTTGCATTCCTCATACAAAATTTATGCTTTTTAATACTTTACTGTATAGTATTTGAGGTTTTATACTTTGACTTTGAAAACATAACTCCTGAGAGAATTGCTGTATTTTAACTCCCTAAGTGTATGAGATGAAGACCATTTTTAAACACATAGAATTGACCACTTCTAGGAATTATAATAGTATTCTCTCATGCTTCCATTGCATAGTTATATGTGTTAGAGAAATAATTAAAAAATTAAGTGTTAGATTAACATATGAGGATAGGATGAAATACACACAGGTGTGAATCATTAAGGTAATGTCACACATTAGTCTTACTGTTAAATCCCTCAAGCTCTTGGCACAAAATTAAAAAACAACAAGTGAACAAAGCAATTGTGACTGCTAGCCTACCGTTTGTTAAAAAGAAATTTTTATAAAAGCAAATAGGGATTTTTTGTTTGCTATTTTAACTCTTTTTTAAAAATTCTTTTATTGGTACATTGTAGGTATACAACACAATTACATTTCTCATTGGGAATTGTACCTTTACATAATGCATCTTGGTTCTTATTCTTTCCCCATTCCTAGCCCTCCCTTCACCCCCTCCACCCTTCCTTATTTACAAAGACTTTATTCCATTTTTTCCATTTCTCATCATTTTTCCTTTCCCTTCTTTCCTTTCCCCTGCCCCTCCCACTACCCCTACTCCTTTGGACCTTTTCTTCCTATTTTACATTATCGATTACTCATTCTAGTCATTGGTACATTTTAGGTGTACAATATAATGACATTCATCATTGGAAATTTGCACCTTTACATAGTCTCTCTTGGTTCTTATTTTTCACGCTGCTATTTTAACTCTTGACAGAATAGAGATCTCTTTTCTTCGGTGATTCACTTTGTCAAAAGTTTACACAGTAATTTTTTAACAAAATGAAACAAAACTAGGGGAGTGTGGTGGCACACACCTATAATCCCAGGACTCAGGAGGCTGAGGTAGGACAGTCACCTTGAGCTCGAGGCCAGCCTGGGCTACATAGTGAGACCCTGTCACAAAAAGGCTAAATCCTTTATGACCTGTCACTTTTATAGGAGACATTTTGCTACCCTTTTTCATTTTTAACTCAAACATTTTTGTCCACAAGCATCAGGAACAAAAGACTTAGTTAATGACAATACTGCACATAATCACCTAAAAAAGCACAGAAATTTTTTGGTTATTTCTTCCAAAACATACAAAGTAACATGTGCTAACAATTCTGAGGAAGACTGAGAATTGCCTATTTTTTAGCTCAAACTTAGCTCCATTGAGGGAAAAGACCACACAGACTAATGAAGCAGACACTAGGACTCCAAAACAATGATTTTAAAACTGTAGAAGTTTCTCACAATTTCAAGGAAAAAAAATAAAAAAGATAAGGTAATAATTTTTCTCAAGTAATAAATGACTAAAATCTATTCATATGAAAATAAAAATGGAAAATATTTTGCAACTCAATAGTTGATTATAAATTATTGGAAAAATTGAAAGACATCCCACATATGTTTAATAATACATGAGTTTTCTTCTCTTACTACTTGTCATATTCAAACACTTTACTTTGGGGACTATTTCTGCTAAAATAATACATTTTACACTAGTTTGATATATCTCACCTATTCAATTGCTTCTTTTTTTTCTTTTGGCAGCGGGGATGGAACTCGGGACCTTGGGCTTGGAAAGCAGGCAGCAGCACCACCGAGCTAAGTCCCCGGCCCTTATTCGATCGCTCCTTACATAAGGAAGAAGGTGATTTGCAATATACATTTAAGCGAGATCTGCGGTAGTTATTACTATCACGGGCTCTTTAGAATATCAGAGATTTTTAAACTAATCGAGATTTTTTTTCTTATAGGTGAACAAATGTGATTCCTTCCAACATGCGAAAAGCAAAACCAAACTGATCTTTTTACCCTTCTCCTGCCCTCTCCTTTGCCTTACAGGCGTGTATCAGGGTCTCTTACCCGGGCCGTGAGCATCTCGCCGGCTCCGTCCTCCCCACGCAGGTCCCTGCACAGACGCCCTAAGCCCACGCTTCTGCGGGGAGGACCTGGCACGCTGTGCTCTCAGCCGTGTTTAAGCACAGAATGCTCCTCTTGGGGCCTGGCCGCCCCTGTCCTGCTCTGACAGGTGTGTGTTTTCACACCCTGTGGGCTGCTGCCAACCAAGACATCACAGAAGTCACCAGGGAGTTGGCCCTGGGAGGGGGAGTCAGCTGTGGTCTCATTGCTGTGACCTCAGAGGGGTGAAATGGACCAGCCTCATGCAAGGACAAAGGTGGGAAGAATGAGAAGAGGAGAGAGAAAGAGAGATGGAGGATGGAGGGCAAATGGAAGGAGAAAACTCAATTCACAACCACAAGTGTTCATTCCGCCTATTAGCAAATGCTAGATAATGTTTGCAAACCATGAATTCTGGAATCTCTAGTGAAAAGTCTACTCACTGCTATCTTTTCCTTTTGTGGTTGTGCACAAGTCATGACTGTTCCTTAAGTTTATAGCTTTTCCAATAAAGGTCCTGGCACAAATAAAAAGTAAAGAAAATCTTTCAAAATAACCAGATGAAAAGCGAAAGTTCTATCACCATATGGATATTTCCTGCTCCCTGGGGAAGGTTTTGCTTTAGTGTGTTATGGCTCCAGAAAATAAGCTTCTAATCATTCACATCAATAATTGTACCATTCATCAAGACAACAGAATTGTTATATTTAAGTATGCAATGCTTGAAAACATCAAGGCTTAAGTATTTGTGGAAAAGAGACTCAAACTGTTCATGTTTATACCAACTTTTGGTAGTAAGGGTGCAGCTCACTGATGAAGTGTCATTAGCACGTTTGAGGCCCAGGATTCCATCTGGAACACCAAAAAAACAGTCACCTTTAAAAAATTCTCTGAAGATTTTCTTCATAAAGTTAAACACTATGGTAAATAAGAATGCCTGCTGGACATTGAGTTTTCTTTTTTATTGAGTTTTTATGAAGGATGACAAACTTGCCTTTGCAAATATCTGGCCAGATAGAGACCTCGTAAATTGATGGTATAGTTTCAAATTTTTTTATTGCTGCCATCAGCAATAAATGCAAAAGAGCAGAACATGCCTTGCATGTCATCCTCTGCACCCCAGTCCAGCTATCATTGTAAGAAGCATAACAAGGAAAATCCAGTCAAGAGTGGGACTTCATTCTGCTATCAACCAGGTACTAAAACTGCCATGAACCACAGCAAGTAAACCAATTTAGAAGCTGTGTTGCTTGGGGGAAGCTGCATCAGCTATAAGGGTCTGTGTGCTCCAAAGAAAGCACAGGGTACTGGGAAAGGGAAAGGGCTTTCAAAAGAGCAAAGAAGAAGCACCCAGAGGACAGCATTGAGACTTAGGAAAGAACACTGGCCTGGGGTCAGGATTATGGTCCAGCTTCACTTGTCTTAGTTCTATGGCCAGGAACCATTCCTGGCCTCAGAGTCTTTTCTAATTCTCATTTCCTACTTTGTTCTGTGTGGGGTTTTTGTAATCTTAATTTTTAAAAGTTGCTATGTATCCATGGACACCATTGCTAAATCTTTTCTAGGACTATGGTGGAGGTGGAAGTAACATATACAGTAGTGTTCTAATGAATCCTCAGAATCAGCAGTACCAATTCAAGAACCATATCCCAGGGAAATGCTACATAAAGACACACTATGCATGTCAAAGGGTGTTTTGTGGTACCCTGTTAGGAGCTGTGAAAAATGAAAATAGATGGAATGTTCTCCAGTGGGGGATGGAGCCAATTACATTCAATAGTTCAATCATTAAGCAATGTGTGATGGTGAATGCTTATAATCCCAGTACTCTGGAGGCTGAGACAGCAGGATCAAAATTTGAACACCAACTTGGGTAACTTAGGATTTCAAGAAGAGCCTGTCTCAAAAACAAACAAATATGTATATACAATGATGGAGATATAATTTAGCATGAAATCCTGGACTTCTATCTTCAGTACTGGAAAAAATAAGTTGCAATCATTAAAATTAATGATACACAGTCCCAGCACCCAGAAGGAAGCTCCCCCACTGCCATCCCAGGCTCCTAGGGCCAAGAAGGTGAGCCAGTCCCAGCACCCAGAAGGAAGCTCCCCTGCTG